TTCACAATAGGTTATAATACTCCATTATGTTTGTCTGTCTTATAGGTTGATTTTAGGAATCAAATGGAAATAACCAAGATTTCTATCAAGGGTATAACGCTGTTCAAAATGTCTGCTTTCGTAAGGTCCTTCACTGTGTCGTATGCCACGTATAAGAACCAATGGCAGCCTTATAAGGTCAATGGTGCTACCAGGGTGAGTAGCTTATACTCCATGTGTATTGGTATACATTGTCTTTTCTCACGCCTGTCAGTGAAAAAGAGCTGCGCTAGTCTAACTTCCTTGCTAGACTAGGGGCCTAGGGGTCTAAGATCGTGTCATTAATCCATATAACACTTGCACATGCTCGACCTTGATATTCTTAGCTGTGTAGCGTTGAGAGCGCTCTTACCAATACAAAACCTACAGAATCGATTCCTTGGAGAGCTTGGTGCCATGCGATGAAAGGTGGTTTTTTCCTGTGCTTAACAAAGCTTTTTCCCGATAACAATACAGAGTCCGGATAAGTTCCAGTGATGGAATTAGTTGGAAGAAGAGTCACTCTCCATATAACAGTACTCATTTCTTCTGAAATGGAAGGTTCGAATATTGAATTAGAAAATTGAAGGAAAATGTAATTATAGCCCCCAGGCCCTCCCACTTAAACTATTATTATTATCATCCCCATCATGACTCATTATCATTCATAGGTATTTTCAGCCAATTGGAACTCAAGAACAACAGTAACCCTCGCTGTTGACCCTGCTATATCAGCACGTTTCTTAAGGGTACTGCCCCAGGCCTGGGCTGTCAATATCTGTGCTCAGTTTGAGTTCTATGGTTGTGGTTTTGGTTAGTACTTTAATAATGTCGTATTTAGATTGTTGTTGATCGAGTTATATGTTACCTTTGGGCTTCCTGCGGATTAATATAGACGATAATAATTCACATACTGAGTAGTCTTAATTTCCCGCCATATTAGGTAATATTACTGATAATATAATAATAATAATCAACTTTATTTAACGAGGTTATACTCTCAAAATATAGCATATTTAACCAGCAAGTCAACGATCAGAAAACATAACTTTTTTCTTTTACATACATGCACACGTGCAACTGCTTTCACTTATGCCTCTCAAAGTTGACAAAATTATTAATTATATAACGTTTTTGAATTACTATTTCTTTAGAATGTCGAAAGACATTGGGAATAGGTTCAGGATTGATATATGACAAACTAATCAACGCATCGTCACAACTGGATGCCGAACATGGTCCCCTGCAGGTTAGACCAACAAGTGGACAAGGGTGGTGCCCTAAGGTATGATRAACACAGATCACTCCATATGATCAATACTAAGGCTAGACTAACAAGTGGTGAGCGAGTCTTCGAGTGGGAAAGGGAGGAAGGAGAAAGGGAGGTACGGAGGGGGAAACGGGGAGGGGAAGGAGGGGGCGTAAGCGAGTGAGTATGAAAGAGAGAGACTTATACCAAACTAATGACTATATCTAGTGATATTTATAAGTAAAAGCATGACGAATAGTGAGTAGGGACATTTAGACTAATCGTCCCTCATGAAYAYATAATCATGAGGGAAAATTAGTCTAATCATCCCTATTGTTTCAATTCATGAGGGATATTTAGACTAAATGTCCTTCCTCTCACTATTCATCCAGAGGGATGTTAGTGATTAAACGTCCCTCTGGAGACAATGATTTCGAGGTAATCATGTTATTACAATAGATAACAATATGTTTTGATGTATAATGTATAATTAAAAAATTAAACGAGGCTTACCTGTAAGGTGAAGTTTGATTGGGATTCTACCTCCTCATTCTTGCATAGAGAGATCACGTGAGATAGCGCATGCGTAGTGAAGTTCATCCTTTAAAGCGGGCCCATGTTATCCCAAGAAATGGGTGGGTATACACCAGACAATGGGGT